CAAGCCGAGGGTTCGTTCTAAGGTTGCCCAAGCTCGAAATGAAGCGCCCTCGTTCTACTTTGCATACTGAGAGCTTCGAGCGCGCCTGCACAGAGGAGATGCATCTGAGACGGCAGCTCGTAAGGGCGCGCGTTCGCAGCACATTCGTAGCTGCTGGTACGCGCCTTTCCGCTACTTTACTTCTTTGAGTCTGTTTCGCTTCGGCGTCCTCCTTTTTCGGTCTTTCTTATGCGGGCGCGCTACGGTTCCGTACTTTCATTGCTGTTAATAATGTGAAATTTTCAGGTGCCACAACAAATGTTAAATGTGACTTTGGACAACGCTTCATTAGTGCCAGTGCGAACTCGTGCTCTTCAACGAAAGCTGCTTGTCCGTCTTAGTTCAGAGTGGTCGTGATTCGACGCCACATGAGGGGTAGGGCTGCTTGCGTCACACGTGCGTCTGAAAGTTTTTACCACGGAGATGCCATCGATCTGTTCCCATCTCTACAATACATCCGTCAAATTCGTTCTCTTCGTGTTCCACCTTTGCGGTTTGAAGCAAAGCCGCCGCCATCCTCATATCTCCAGCGATGCCACAGCGTCGCAGTGACGCGTTCCCATTGGCTGTCCGCATGACGTCACGAACGGTGACGCGCTATCTCAAGACACCTGTAATTCTTGCAGAGCCAGCGTGACCGCCAACATTGTGGACTCGCTCACTCGATTCGTGCCGACCAGTTGTGCCCCGCGATCTCTGAGGACAGCGCAGCTCTGGCCGACCGGCTCGCCCTCCGCCATCTCCTGACGCCACGTAAGGATCTCGCTGAGTGGTGCCCCGTCCTCGGACTCCTGCGACTGTGTCCATCTTTCTCTATCTTTTCTTTACTTCTGTATGTGGGTGTCCTCATCTCTATCCCTATCCTTTTGAATCCACCCTATCATTTTTCATCCTTCCTTATCACCCTCTTTCGTGAGACACTGTTGAGGTGTCGCACTATGATGCAGACAGTTACGGGGCTAACTTTTACCTTCTTTTCTATCTTTTAAGAATAACTTTAACAACATTGTGAACACGAGGAATGCAAGACGCCGCCCCAGAGATCTGTACACAAGCAACGGAAAAATCACTTTATGTTTTTCACGTCCGAGTCTCAGCATGATGGGTTCTTTCCCCGCTGACTGCAAAGCACACACGAACACTAGGCGATGGGTGAAAGCAGGAAAATACAAGAGGAGAGCCCGGTGATTGGCTGGATAGGGCGCATCTGGCTGGAAATGACAAAATAGTGGAGGCACTGCTGTGGTCATCGACGGCGTAATCATTCTAAAAAAAAAAAAAAAACAGGACGTGTAGACAGGGACATAAAAACGAAGTCAGGACACTACAAAGTTGAGTTTTTTCGTGCGAGCATGTGGAAGGCAGCGTAATTCGTCAGTCTATTTCCACCTCGCCTAGCAACGACATTCCCGCGCGTCACCATGGCAACCGGACCAGCTGGTAGGACATCGCTTCCCGCCACCACGAAGTCGCGGCAGCAGTGCCTAGCGATGGAGCACTCGCCCTCTCTTTTGTCCGTGACTGTAATTGTGCACTACGTGACTTACCCAATGGATAGCTATTTCCTGCGACGGAATTCCGCTTGTCAAAACGTTCTCTTTCACTATAGCCCAGCTTATGGGTTTATCATGCTTTTAAGCCTCCATCCGCTCCTCCACTGCTACCATGTTTTCATTTCTGCCGGCTCTCCTTGCTGTTCAGCCACAATAGATTCACTTATTACTAGGCGTGACTCTGTTACAGGCAGTGATCCTTCAGATAGACGCAAAAAAGGCCTAAAAAATGTGGCAAAAACAGTTGTTAAATTACAACTTATTTTCTTCATTCTTGAGATTCCAAATATATCTGTTCATGTTTGACGTCCCGAAAATTAGGATACATTCGTCAGAGACGCTCTAAGTGCAGGGCTTCGGCAACTTTCACCACACGGGGTTCTTTAACGTACAACTAGGCTTAAGTAAACGGGCCTCAAGCAAAATACAGTCTCCGACTATAGATGCAACGATAAGAGAAAAGGCATGCTGAAGCAAATCAACAACGACAATCAATTAACGGGGACAGGATGTAGACTTCGGAGCAAATGCGGAAATGCTTTGACCACACAGAAAGCCCGAGCGGTTAGGAAGCAATCATGCCCAGATATCTAGGGCAATCACAAAACCGATTCGTGTTGTTTGCTCAATCAATGACCGCGAAAGATTCCAGCTTCACATTCCCAAGCCGAAAGCGAAGGGATTACGCCACTGTCTCTCAGAGTTTCGCTTCTTTGTTTCATTCTTTGTATTTCTGTACATCTCTTTAGTTGATACTCTTTGTGTCGATATGCTGTTAGTTGTAACTCCTACTGGTCGCGGAGGCAAGCGGACAGTAAATTGCTTCTAGGCTAGATTTCTATCATTCGGATCGCCGTTTCTCCACTGGAGAAACACTTCGACAGTCATCCAGAGCCTTCGGTTTCGGACCATGCCAAACGCGTCGCTCAATGCTGCCGAATTTTCGGTTGCTGTTGAGGAATTCGCGAATCGAAACTTCGTAGTCAAATGCTGCGACTTGTGCAAGCTCCCAAGATATCATGTCTCCGTGACATAGTCGTAAGCTAAGGTAGACAGGGTGTTGTTTTTTAGTCTGCGTTAGTGGCACGAGAGCAGATGTCTCACTCGTTTCAGTCTGCTTTTTATGTCTACGAAAATTGAAGGGTACCAGACGCCTCACTTGTATCAGGCTGCTTTTTAAAGTCTATGATAATTGCAGGGTAGCAGATGTCTAGCTCGTCCCAGAATCATCCGACTGCTTTGCGTGGTCATCTCTGGCCCGTATGCCATTTGTAAAATGGCCAACAACTGCGTCAACTCTAATGTTATAAAACCAGAGTGTAGTAGGCCATAATGTAGTAGACGCAGCGCTTTCAATCGACGTTTTCAACAAAAAAGCACTGTTTGTGCTACGATGCTCTCGCATCCTTTTCCCTTGCTTGCTCGGAAACGGCCCGAGATCGTGCTCAAGAAAGAACGTGTAAGACAGCGGTTTGCAGTGCTTTTATAAGTGTTGTTCATTTTTGTGAAACGATTTAGTTATTGTAAGCAAGTACTTAACCATCGGTCATTTCGAAGCAACTCTCTTAAATTTTTGCATCACTTGTAGTTTTCGTGTGTCTGCGGATGTATGTCTTGCAAGCAATGTCATTTAGTGGAATCATGAACCTTTGCTGCTTGAGTAACCTGCACCCTTTGGGACCTACACCCTTCCTTTCTGCTCTATTTCAGTTGACACCACTGAAAGAAGGCCAATACCATAGCCTGCATTGCCCCTACGCTTTTCATCAAAACATCCAAGTTTCTACTAGTAGCTCTTATATCGTACTTACATTTGTCTCCCCACATTATTTAATTTCCCTCTCCTTTTGAAATAATAAAAACGGAATAATTTTGCTAACGTGGTTGCTTGCTGGAACACGGTTCCAGCAAATAAATCTTGTTGTAAGTCAGTACCAGTGTCTCTATCCTTCTTTCCTTGTCCCTCGTTATTGGCGCTGTATTTTATGTGAATTATTTTTCCATATTTAGAGCAGGCTGCTCTGGAATGATTGGCCTCAAAAGCAAACTTATTGTCATTAGCAAAAATAACACATATTGGTATTGAATATGAAGTGAGCTTTGGATATAAATTCTTGCATGTACTACCAAACTGTGCTTTTAAGTCCTGCACCTAATCGTTTTCTCTCATTTATACTTCACCAAAAACTAGCCTTCTTTGACTATATGTGCATACATAATTTTTTTCATGACTATTTGAAGAAAAACAAAGCTCTTCCACTTGCGAAAAAAAAAACCTCTGTCTTCTTGTTTGTCCATAACACCAAACGTTTCACTTTGCCTAATATGAACACCTTAGACACGCGACCCCTCTCATTGCATCGCTTCGTTAATTTTCATTGTACATAACCACTTTTCTTTGTACTTTGTTTGGCATTGGGGTTATTCTAAATCAGTCGATCAGTTAGTGGAACGGTACACCCACCATTATAACTTACATAATAGAAATGTTTGACTTATTAGTTGCCAGCTGATTATGTAAAATTCTTTCCTTGGTATGTCATGTCATTTTGCCATATATTTTTTTCTTGAGAAAATAGTCATTGTTATATGCTTCTTGCCAATATACATTTTGCGCTACTTTTTTGCTTAATGTGTTGGGTTTGTCCTTAGCTTTATATTGTTCTCACTTTACACTACTGCTTTCTATAAAAAGTTCAATATGTGTTATTCATGATATTAACTCCACCTTGCAAGCACTGCAGTAGAAGTAAGCAGTATTGTCAAATTGATAAATAAATATAAGTACATTTTCCACTTTTAGGTTCTCGTAACTGATAATATATCACTAGACAGTTCACAAGTAAGAGTTATCACAAATGAAGAACTGTTATAGAGTAACGTGCGTTTACGCAACAACGTATTTTAATAGACATTTTGTATTTTTGCATATATGCGGAAAGATACTCCCAATTTCTATTGCCTTTTCTAATACCTATTCTATTATACTCTGTATATTATTTCTAATATTTTAAATTGTCAAAGAATGTAAGTTTTACTGCTGTTATTTTTAGGCTGTATTTATTGCTATTTCTGTACGGTCGCCAGGCTCCCTGAAGGTATTCTTGCTTTTTTGCCTGGTGAAACTGCCAAACATTTGAAGCAGTGAACTCAACACATTCCTCTACAACGTTGGAACAGCCGGCTCCCACACGTCCCAGCATGCTCCAGCCTCGTGCATACCGACACAAGTAGTTTTCGAGACCCACACTAAACACTCCTCCTTAAAGCTCATTCACGCTCTAGTTTAGGACTGTTCACAGCCAGGCGAAATCAGCAAACATTATAAGTGCAGGCCAGCCTGCCGTTCCAGTCTTTTAGGCAAGCGTGTTGACCTCTGTACCTATGTTCCAAGGGAATGTGACTCACCAATCGTGGACACCACTGTGCCGACGAAGTAGAAGGACCCCACAAAGTCCCAACGGGGCCTCTTGTTCGGAAGCAAGTTCCGAGACGAGGCGTTGCCGTGCTCCTCAAGCAGCTTGACCACGTCTTCGGGGTCCACCGTGCCGTTGTACTTAAGCCAGAAGTCTCGAAGGACCTGGTCGTACCGTTCGCGGGCCTCCGCTTCCCAGGGTCCCTCGACGGCCCTGAAGAGCAGGGCACCCAGGATCATGTACACGAGTAGCACCACGCCCAGAAGTATGAACCGGGCGTTTTCCTCGCGAAGTCGCAGTAGACGTCGACAACAGCCGCCCTGGCGGCGAGGCAGCTGCCGCTTCATACAGCAGTACGACACTGGCACTTCACCATCGCAGGTCGTCGCAGGTCTAGGAGGTCTTCTGCCACAGACGACGTCATCGAGGAGAAACTACGTCAACTCTCTTATCCTAACATAAGCATGACCCTACACCACGTATCTCTGTCTGCGCTTGCGTATGCTCTTAGATTCATTGAAAACCTTTAGGTCAGCAGCATGCCTATAGACTAACATGTCTCGAGACTACAGCAACAAGTCTCCACTGTACAGATCTTACGAAAACTTTTTCATGGACGGCGTTGCCTGACAGACACACAAATGACCCACGTATGGCAATGTGTTCCTGGCCTATCATTCATAAGTGCATGTGTTGTCTTTGAGTTGTTCAAAACCTGTTGTGCGGTATCACATTCCGTCATTAGACTAGAGGCCATCAAAGACCCCTGGCAGGTGCGTAGTCATGAACGTGACAGGAAAGAAGTTATAGTTGCTTGCGTGTACTGTTCCCAGATCTACGATTGCTCGTACACCTGCTTCCTTTCTATTACTTGTTCTGCAATTTACTGTAGTAGACCGTGAACAGTGACTGAACGGTAGCGTTCCGTTTGTGTTCCTAGTTACTGCGAAAATTTTTCACTGAGGTGTGTTGAAGCATTCGACGGAGAAGCATACAATGTAACGCTGGATAACACAGCAGCACACCCTTCGCACTATTGTCTGCTCTGGATACTTTTACACTCACGAGTGCCAAAGCACTCAAGGTTCCATCACAACATAAAACGCACACCACGCAGCAAAACAGTGTTTGCACTGCTTGATGCCGAAGGCAGTTTTACACCCAGGTGTCTTGAATCCTTCAAGGTTCCAGCATACAACGTAAACGGAAGCTACATCGCAGAATACCACTCGCACTGATGTTCAAAGATTCACACTCAGTCAACCCGAATCCTTGAAAGGTTTATAGAACAATTCATGTTGACCCTGCGGAAAAATGCTAGCTTTTCTATTTAATAAAGACAGCATAAGTCATGTCGTAGACTGTAGTAGCTCCGTATTTAAATAGCGATCCAAGTGCGCTGTTTGCGAAAATGTGTCGTTTCAGCTGCTTCCTCCTCGGTGAAGTATAGAATGAAGAAATGTGCGTAATTTATAAGCCCCGACCTTTTTATACCCTGCCCTGGGGGCAACCAATGGCAGGTTGTGTTTTAAAATTGAAGGAAATGTGCGGAGTGTGCACTTCACAAAAGTGTATACTACGCACAGTTGTCCCCCAATTTAAAGTAGATCGTTATTGGATTGAAAACACCAACGCATTGTATTCAACGCAGAACACACGTATTTACGATTAAGAACATGAACCGTTTTTTTTTTTCGTTGGACGCTGTGCCTCGAACTGTCGTTCAGCAGGTTCTTGTTTTTTTTTTTTACGTATCTAACGAAGACATCTGTTATTGGCACATTAAGAAAAATTGAATCGTAAATAAAACCGTTCTTGAGTCTTCAAGCAAAAAGTTTTGGCTCCCACTATTGAGGCTAGCAGGTTTGCTTGAATATTTTGCAGAAATTTCAATGATTCCAACTGTTTATCAGAAACCTTTTTTTAACTTTTTATTCCTTGTATAGAATTTCACTCCACTTGTTATGCTACTCAATTATTACAGACGAAGAACCGTGTTCTTGATGTTCAATTACTTTGGCAAGCCGAAGTGGCGGCAGTTCTACGTATTAAGATGTTGCGGTTTTTACAAAATAGGACAACAAAGCACAACACTTATATCGGAGCTTGTCTCTCGTTAAGCAGAACCTTGATATTAAAGTTTGTACGTACAGCTTGGAAATGAAGTATTGCTTAGCTCAGATATAGGGGCGATGTTTTTTCGCCTGCTCACATAATCATATTTTGAAGCCTTAGTACGCCTTTGAGAGCGGTCATGCTGATAAACCAGAAAACAAGTACTCTCATGAAGGTAGAGTGCTTTTAACCAGTGGAAGTTTTATTGTTAAGAAAGATTTAATGTAGCAGATTGCCATAACACGAAACCTCTCTTGTTCCTGCCTTACGCAATCGAAAACGAAGCATAAAACTTTTATTGATTTATTTTGACATGATTTAGGCTACGAGATCTGGGGTTCTTAAAAGATAAGCGTACGTTATCTGACCTGCTAACGAACTAGTTGAAAATATTAGCTACGAGAGCTAAGCCATTCCTCAATGTTTTTCTAAATGTGGGACACGCTTACAAAAGGCAATGAAATCACGTTTTTCTTTTCCTATTTTTAAGACGTTATTGACTTTGAATCAACCTTAGGGTAACCTTTAGACACCCACTTGTACTTCATGTATATCTAGCTGCCGAAGTTACCTTAAAGTATGTTTGACCTTGTATCTTGTAGACACTACGCGTAATTACGATTCATTTGATTAGGCAAAGCTACGTGCCCAGATAATGTGAAGGAAGCAATGTTTTAGTGGTCCTTACAATTATGGCCAACCACAGTAAAAAGTCTTCACTTGAGTTATATTTCTGAAGGTACATTTAAATGCTTTTTATTGGGTATGCCACAGCTGTATTCTTGAATATGCGAAATGTGTCCCACAATGCTGACTACATTACACGCACCAGTAAATGATCATTCATTACTAGCTTATTTGAATACAAATTAAAATGATTTTTATTAATCTATCCTTAGAGCTCTTTTCTGAGTCTACATCAATCTGAGCATAAAGCTGCTCTTTAAAAGAGTTTCAGAAAACACCTTTTGCGAAAATTTTCGCGGAAATTTTAATTGCAGGTAACAGGGAGTTTAGCGCTGCTGTCAATAATGGTTGAAAGGAATTTTAATTGTAGGTAACAGTGAGATTAGCTCTAGTGTCAATAACGAATAAAATGTTTCAGCACAAGCTTAGATATTTAATTACAGCGAAGCTTCCGGTGTAGTTAGTGCGCCTTGTGCTTAACGTTGATGTTGGGTTGAAGTGAGCCTTGTCGCCAGTGTAAATGAACTCAAGTGCAAGCGCATTGCGGCAGTTTCAAGCACTTTGAAAAAAAAAAGCTTCAGTGTGTTTTCTGTTGATGGATGTCGATAGTGATCGGAGACGGTTGGATGAGCTACCATAGAACAAAAACGATTGTCTCTACATTGACGGTCTGGAAGTCAATCAATCTTCCTGTCTGAGAAAGCATAAAAGCTAGAAGGGAGTATTCAATGAAGCTATTTACCATCTAACTGCTGAAATCAAGCCTTAATTAGCTTAGTAACAGCTTACGTGCAGCCTTGTAGAAGCGTTAAGAACCTACGCGTACAAATTAAATATGCTTGCTACTTTTTTTTGATTGGCTAAAGTACTGAGCTTCTGTAGCAGTGAATAAGCTGCCAATATACTAGCACAACACTCTCACCTAAAGTGCTCATATCATTTGGTATTTACATGACAGACAACATTATAAGTGAACTAGCGGATGCATTCGAAATGCAATCAAGAGCGAGCTATCTCGTGCTCACTTGAAGCTGCCTCCATCAATCACGGTAATAATTTTTCTTCTACATGTCCTATGTTTTCAAAGGTGAGAGATGGTCTTGATCACTTCAACAAGAAATGTTTAGCATTTGATTTTTGCATTGAAATTCACTTGATTAAGGAGTTTATCGCTTACGATTTAGGCAAGTGCCTGAGATCTCACACAATCTAGATCAACGCAAACCGCTACCTGTTTGCCAGGCCCTTCCATTGCAAATTGGAACATACCTTAAACTTCGTACTTCGTTTCTCAGAGCTTCAATTCGGCACTCGGCCTGTCAAAGACCAATACGTTAGTCGCTTGGGACCATAAATGCCGCATCGCATGTAGGCTCTACAATGCTGAACTGACGAAGAAAGGGTGAAAAACTAAGCATAAATGCTCACGAATCACCGCTACTTCCGTAAACATTTGAAAAATAATGTGCGTGATGAAATAGTGAAGCAATTACCTGCGGCGATGTTTATGCTTTGAATAAAATCAAGGGGTACTGAATGAGGGTGCTTAATCTATCAAATAACAGTCACCTCTGATAATCTCCCGACCGTGAGTGCCGTGCACATGATTCGAGTTGAAAAACAAAAGAAAGAAAATAAAAACCCAAGGAAGTGACGTCAAGTAAGTCACGCCAAGGGTTATCCGTGAACCTAGCTTCAAGGTATCAAACGTATCCTCTTGAAGTCGAACTCACGCGCGAATCACGCAAGCACCACAGCGTTGACCACACACCACCCCACGGCACGTACACCGACAGAAGAGACAACGTCCACACTTCTGACGTCACAGGTGAGGAGCAAAATGCCCTGAAACACCGCTTCTACGCGAGCGTATCCAAAAACAGTCACGTGGTATGGGTTGAACTACAAGCGAAGGGCCACTTGAATACACGCGCGGCCGCTCCACACAAGAGTGGCAGGAGATCAGCTGGTTTGGAGGGGCGGCAGTCGCAACACTGAGGAGAAGGTTGTGAGCGCTTTCCGGTCTGAAAAGATTCTTCCTTGTCCTCTTCCCTCATTGCCGGCGGTTCTTTTCCTCCTCCTCCATCTTCCTAGTGACGCTTGAGCGCCACCACCATGTGCAGTCTGCGATTGCGTGGCCATCTATCGGGTAATCGTTGCACCATCCGGCGATGCTTCGCCACAGAGGCCATCCCCTGCCCAGCCGCCACCAGCACAACAAGCTTACTAGGTTGAGGAAGCTAGCATATCTTTATTGGCACCTTTAATGGAATGTTAGTTATTGTTCTTGATGGCAAGTTTTTTCGTGATATTTGAAAGCGTCCTGCTGAAAACTTGACGCATATATGAAACAGTGAGAAATTCAGAACAAACCAAGGCCGTATTTCAGATGTTCTGATTGTTCGCACTACTGGATTTGCTTTCCCTGTGCATAAATATTGTTTTTTGTTTTACTTTTGCTTCATTAAACGTGAAGAATGCAAAGTGAAATTACGTATTCACACAATGAGGCATTCGTTGATCGTGTCGATGAAAATCGCAAGCA